ATGTTGTTATTTTTAAATTAACCAGTAATACAAGATGTTGAAAACATTACCGTTCCAATAAAAATGACAAATAAGGGTCTCTTTTTGCAATATTTAAGTGGGGGTTTCTACCTTTTCTATTATTACCAACAAAATTAAAAGCTCTCGAAGGAATTTGAACTTGTAACCTAAAATACGACATGTGATGATACTACCAATAAGAGAACAACCGTGATTTAAAGCAGGGACACCTTTAAAACCCCTAAAAGAAATTTTGGTGCGACAAGCCGATTGAACGCCTCGTACACCCGAGGTCTTGTATGTGGGTCTGCACCTGACTAAATTTTTTTCTTACGTTCTCATATGAACATCTAATGATCTACGAAAATGAGTGTTTCAGTATGTTGGGTTCCATTTTTTGGCATGTATAATAAGGTGTTTCTCGTGGTTAATCTATCGGCAACAATTCGAAAATGATATATGGTCCTCTATTATATAATATTCTTACGTTATCACATGACTGGATTAACAAGTATTAAACACATTATCTGTTCGTGTGGGTGTTTGTGTGTAGAGGCTTAGGTCTTGTTTGTTTTTTGAAAAAAAAAATCTTTTATTAGTCTCTTATGTCTGATTCGTTAAGAGGTATAGTCATTTAGATTGTTTGTTTTTTCCAATTTTTTGAAGCAATTATATCTTATCATCATCTTATCTAGCAAGAGGTAAACCAACCTCTTATTTGTCTCGTATTGTTCTAGAAACGTTTAGCAATGACATTCTCAATCGATTGACTTTAATCGATCATTTCTCTCGATTAATCATTATCAAATTGATCCTCAAAATTCTCAATTGATGTATTTTAATATGATTTAAATGTGAGAAATACCGTTAATGACATATTTTTCGTTTAAATGAATGCTAATTATATAATTTAAATATAAATTTCGTAATGATGACGAATAAATATATAAAATTGTGTAAATTTATTTATAAGTTCAACATTATAATTTTCTAATCAGTTTACAAAAACAAACAATTTTATTGATTCATATTTCAAACTTCAACACCACCTTTTATTAATCAAAAGTGAAATAAGATTTCAAACTTTATCACCTCTTAAAAACAAACGCCACCTTAATCATTTAAAAATTTCAAAATTTATGAGATCCATCATAAACCACTAATTTAAAATAATCAATGTTATTAATTAATGAGATAATTATTATCATATATTAAATAATATTTTATTTTATTTTATATGAAATTGCAAAGATATATCTCTCTCTCCTCTCTGAGTAACACACACATGCACAATTATGAGATCTTGTAGATTTAAAGTATGGTCACAAACAATAATATTATTCTTAAGAAAGTGTTCACAATATGTTCATCTCATGTACACCACCAGTTATTTATGTGTACGTATATGTTACAGAGAGAGTTGAAACGAGAAACAAATTTAAGATGCAAGATAGGAATTAGGAGAGAGATAGAGAGATTTTTAATTTATATTAGATTTCATTTTTCAGTTAATTTTTTACGGTCTAAATTAGATCTTACGGATCTGAAATTGGTTATTCCATCTTTGTTAAGAGGATGACATTGGGGGATGGTTGATTTGCATTTGACAACCAACTTAAATGGGTAGATTATTGGTCCCTATAAACGATCATCGACATGCAAAACCAAAAAGTTACTTTATTTTATAAAAAGTTGATAGAAAAATCTGAGTTTTTATACTTAAATATATCCAAAGTTTAAATAATAATGGGTTAGGTTGTTGATATATCTCTAAGGGGCCGTTTACCAAACGTTTATCCGGGTAAGCGTTTAACAAGTAGCATTACCTCATCGCATGAATATGGTAAAGACCAAGAATCTTACCCGGTAAGAGCGAGACAAGGTTCGAGAGTCTTACCCGGTAAGTGAGGGCGATGACTCTTACCATGGTAAGTGTTTACTGGGTAAATTGTTGCATACGATGTCGTTTTGGTGGACTAAAATCTTACCCGATAAGTAAATAATAGTGTAAAAATTTACTGGTAAGCACTTACAGGATAAGTGTTTGGTAAACGGCTCATAATTCTTATTAGAGCCGGCCAAAAAATAGTCCTTGTTATGATCGGGTCGGGTCTAATCGGTCCTGATTTAAGAGAACATCCGATGAGTTTTCCTTTAATAAAGTATGGTATCTAGAACCGGTCCTTGTCTCAGGCCGGGCCCAAATTGGGACCAATTTTTTTCTTCTAAAAATTAATTTTGAACATATAAAAATCTTGTTTGAAAATTTTGTATATATTTTTTTGGAGAATATCTAATTGAAAGACATTTCCAAATAGTGATGGTCAAAAACTGGTCCCACACTATTTCAAAACTTGCCATAAGCGGCCCTAGTGTAACCGGTTCCGGTCGAAAATGTGAAGACTGGTCAAGCTGTTTGACAACCGGTTATGGGTCGCTGGTCCCAATCCTTTGTCCTAACCGGTCCTGCCATTAAAAAATAATTTTTTTAATGATATATGTTTTTAATACATAAGAAAAAATCTTCACCCTTGAATGCATATTAGGATGAGATGCACCGAAATAAGATACACCGGATCAGCCTTCATATCAAACGCAATTCATTGATGGGTTTGAGATTAAAGATAATCAAAAATCCAAATTCTTTCATATGTTTCTCATCTTAACTCTTATTCTTACACCATCTTTTTTTATTTTTTTATTATTATAAATGTGGTTTTGCAAATTTTTATAAAACTGAATTTTATTAAAAAATCAAATCGGTTTTTAAGAATAGTTGAATGATTTGAGACACATTTTCGACATATAAATGATGGTTTTTCCTAATTGTACACTTTTGTTTTCTTTCCATATTAGTGTTCAAGTTTGACAAAATAAAATAAATAAAGTATGATTTTTTTTTTTGAAATTTGTGTGTCAAATTTTGTCCTATTATCTTCGGCTGTTTATCAAACGCTCGTGTCACTTACCTTCTGGATTAACATGACAAAAACATGATAAGATTTCGGTAAGAGACACAGTAAATAGCAAGAATCTTACCCGATAAGCGTGTATGGAAACTCTAACCCGTGGTAAACATTTACTGGATAAAAAATGCTTACCTGATAAGTTAAGTAAAGGTGGCGCTTTTGCTAGTAAGCGTCCTCTGTAAGCGTTTGGTACGCATCTCTTACATAAAGTTTTAATGAATTTAGTAAGGTAATATTCGGTGCACTGACTGGCTGGATCTGATTAGGCAGACAAAAGTGAAATTGGCGGATTAAAGAATTGTATAAGGTATTAAAGTATCTCCAAAATTAGAGAATCAAAATTTAAAATCTCTAATAAATAATTACATTAACTTTAACGATTTATTTATTTTAAAAATTACAACATTTATTACATCATTAAAACATTTCATTATATTTAATAAAATATTATTTATTTCTTATAAACTTTTAATTTCAAAGTTTTTATTGATATTTCATTAAGGTATTGTTGGCAAAAAAATAAGCTGACTTATTTTCTGAGTAATCGTTTAAATGCACAAAAGTTAGCTTATAAGCTAGCTTATTGATAAACTATTTGGAGTAATTTATATGGAGTTTTTTGACACATTTTTAAATTATAACCATGATTAATATTAATTATTAATAAATATTAATTGTCCATAAACACTAATTACTCATAGATATTAAATTATAGTAATTAAAAAATA